TCAAGCCCACTGCACCATCTGAATGCCAGGCAGGGGCCCAGGCCTCACCTAATTAACTGTAGCCTGCTGGGCAAGGGCCACTTAGTGTCAGTAATTACATACAAATGGCTATACTGGACTGATGTCCTACCTTTGGTCCATTAAAAGGAGGTTTGAGTGTTATGCTATAATGATAATATTAACAATGAAAATAGTACTACTACTACTAATAATAATAAAACATTCATGACAATGATAGTTTTAATACAAAACTTTCTTCCTTAAAAATTCAAGGAAACAGAGTGAGGTCAGGCAGACTGCTCAAAATTAACTCCTTGGTGATTAAGTACATGTGGAGCATTGTGTGTGTAAGCAAAATTGACAAAACAAAACTACAGTGGATAATGCATGTACCTAGCACCAACGGTATAGGAAACTCTGTAAACTGGTCTAATAAGTATCAAGATTACACAGCGAAAACATCAACATCAGGAACCTACCGGGAACCCAAGCTTTTGCACTATTCTCGCATACTTTCTTGCTGCAAGTCTGGAGTCTTGCTCACTCTTGGCTCCTGTGCATACCATTTTGCCTGAGGAGAAGATGAGGGCTGTCGTCCGAGGTTCTCGAATACGCATGATGACTGCGGCAAATCGCTTGGGATTATATTCTGCATTACGAGCGTGGAGTGCAATTTTCTTCAGCTCCAACTTGCAGCTGAGGTTCACTGTTGACACAATGTTCCTGAAATTATGAGAAAAGTAAGGGACAGAGGAAAACATGGGCCTACAGGAGTGATCTACTGAGGACATTGCAGCTAAATTTCTGCCTCTGTGATTCAGAAAATAACATGAAAGGAAGAAAAAATCTACAATATAAAGGTTAGTCAGAAAATGTCCCTATTCTCAATAACTCATTATCAATTTTAAATGCCTATCTTTATTTTCTTTTAAAAGTACTCCCCAACAGACTTTGCACAGACCAGTATTCTGTAGAATTACTTCTGGTAGGCTCAAGGTGTTTCACATTCACATCTTCAAGGTTCCATCATGTCTAATTGTACTGAGCAACTGATCTAAAATCTTAGCATTCACCATATTCAAAGTGATTGTTCATGTATACTTGATACATCTGGAAATTTTCTGACCTGCACTCAAATTTCTGTCCCTCTAGGACAGATATAAATACTAAAATATACAAAGCATTGTTTTTCCTATCGCTGCAATCTAATTAAAAGATTATCTCTGTTATCACTGTATTCATTTCTTCCCTTACTTTAAAAATATGAACATTAATAAAAAGGAGTTTTAATTATTACTATTAGAAACAATCAGTTCCATTACAGTTATCATAGCAATATACTTCTAAATCAAAATCATTTATTACAAACTCTTTCAATACTAAATAAAACCTTAATAAGCCTAATCAATCATAAGAAAATGGCTTCCTGGCTTCAACTCACTGTAACTGTGGTACGATGCCAGGATCAGCCGAGTGTGGGGTCATAGGGGTCATGGGTCCTCCTATGGGGGTGGAAGGTCCTGTGGCTGAACCAAACATTCCGGCCCCAACCTGTGAACCTCCACCCACAGCTGGAGACATCATGCTCTGTAGAGAGTAGGTCGAGTAGTAGGTATAATAATGCCCACCAGGGATAGATATATGTTTGCTAAGAAGGCGCGCAACTGTGTGAAGTTATGACATACCTATATCATGTGATATTTAAAGATTTACATTAAATGTATGAAGCAAAGACTCACTTGTACTGTTACTACTACCGCCATTGAAAACAGTAATATTATCAAACACTAATAACAATGATAGTAATAATATCCATTTTGTCAAATAAATTTAAGAAATAACACAGAAACTAACTGGTGTCTGTGGCTGCATTAAGGTGTGTGGCGTAAACCCACTGCCAAAGGTCTGTGGCTGCTGCCCCATCTGCTGCCCCTGCTGCTGTTGCTGCTGCTGTTGGCTGTGTTGCTGGGCAGACTGCTGCTGCTGTTGCTGCTGGGCCGCTGGGAGGATCATCTCCTCTTCCTGCGAGTGCTGCAACGGTGTCCCGATGCTGGGGATGCTGAACCCCGGGGAAGGCAGCATGTGATCCATGCTTGTGTTTGTGGTTCACCGGCCTTGGGAGGAAACAAAAACTGTCATCAGTTTGTATTATTTAAAATGACTTACTAAATCTAAATAAAACAGTAAATTGAACAAGGTTACATTTATGGATACAATCAAACAGATTACATTATTAAATGCAGATAATAGATTATACATTTCCATGTTTCAAAAGTTCCAAAAAAAATGCTCAACTCTTATAAGATATTGGTATAAATTATGTGCATATTTATTTTTCATTTATTTATTTTATTTACTACCAATATTTGCTAATTATAAAGAACAGGACCAGGCATATGTTCACTGGCTTCATTATAGGCATTCTTCTTAAATGTCCAAAATAGGACTGTGTAAACACTACTGCAGTGTCACATCAACCTCATTTGCCACATCTCACACTTTCCTTCACTCTCCTATACCACCACAGAATTATCTAACATTGATGGAGGAAGCATGAGCTTGACAAAAACAAGTAAATGGTGGTGGTGGTGGGGGGGGGGGGGATAACTATGCTGTAATGAATACTTTAGCAAAACTTTACAACAGGACCACATACGTCTGAGACTAAAGACATGGTTCAACTGGTCTTGTATACATCTAGGACCTGACTTTTATCCAAGTGCCCACCCAGACATAGTGTTTCAACTGCAAAAAGCACCACTACGCACAGTAATAATCATTTCAGCAACATAGAGCACAAGGACTTATTCCTGTTTCACTATAGTTCGTATTTTATGGTGTATATTTTTTTAAGAAAGAAGCACACAAACCGATATATCAGATTCAAAATTATTAATGCTAATCTGACGGGATATCGACGAGAGGATAGATCCTGTTTCAATTTAGCCATTTCTTTATATTTGTTTTTGATAATAAAAACAAATTTTGTGATTATTAACTCTAAATGTTTTATGTAACTTTATTTATATAACTTTTGTTGACTTTATAGATTTAATAGTTTCTTTACAGACAAAAATTTTAAATTGCACCCTGAAAAGCTCAGAGATGCCCGAGGAAAAAGAATTCTGATTCATGTCATTGCAAGCTCCCTCAGCCCCTAGATTTTGCACCAAAGTGACCCAATTTTGCCCATATAGCCATGCATATGACCAGACCTGCATGTACACAAGACCAGTTGAACCGCGCCTTAAATGCACAACTACACAAAGATAATTTCATGAACCAAGATTTACCCTAACCTGGGGGTTCTGCCCCTAGACCCCATACAGATTGCCGCATTTCCCTAGCCCGTAAATTCTGTAACCCATTAACGCCAGTATATATTGAAGTCGAAAATAAAAGATTCCGGCAGCTACAAAATCGGCGGGCAGAGCTTCCCCGGAGTCTGTGTGCCCACCAGCAGCGGCCTGCTGCTGCGTCGGAGCTTGAACCCTGAAACAACATCACACTGGCAGGACGCCTGGCAATGTTTATTTTTTCAGGTGTCTCACATGTAGGACACCTGTCGTTATAGGGTTAACCCACTAGTGTCGGTATATTTTGAAGCCAAAAATAATAGCTTCAGGCGGCTTCAAAATCGGTGCACGGGCAGATTCCAGGCCGTGGCCTGTAACAGAATCAGAGTGCATGCTCCAATCCAATTACAGACAGAATCAGAGTGCATGCTCCAATCCAATTACACTAGCGGGATGCCTGGCAATGTTAATTTTTCACAGTGTCTCATATGGGGGACACCCATCGTAAATGGGTTAATTTTGTAAAGATGGTGAGCAACTTTAACCAATAATTCTTCTAGAAAACTCATATTTGCATTTGTTTTTTAAACAATCTGAAACTTCTTGGTTAACATCTCCTACTTAGCATACTTGACATGCTCAATAACCACATGGAAATCCATCAATTCTTCAGATAGTCTAGGCAACAGCTTCAAGAAATTTTTACATAATACAATACCCTTCTTTCTATTATGGCTTGTATTGTAATCTCAATTCAATAATCAAGTCTTTCCACTCTATAGTACTAAGTGTTATGATTTACTTATATCAACTGATGAAAGAAATTCTGGAAAATTATTGTGTCCTATCAGGTAAGCCTACCGTAGACAATATGAGGAATATCAAGATGATTTCGATAGAACTCAAAATCTCGCCCGGAAACGTTGGTAATGTACACCCGACAGAAAATCAAACCAGATTACTAAAAAACACGAGGAAAGGGTACTTGTCAAAGATTATGATATATTAGATAGGTACTCCCAAATCTGTTTTCTTCTCATAGGAAAATAAACTTCTTAGTATCTCCGTCTTTTCTTCTTCCATCTATGACACCCTACATTTTCTTGCGAAACGGCAAAAATAAAGAATGGCTGAAATAAGTTATAAATTCACCTTAAACGAATAAAATGTGAGTCGCTGTCTACACGGCAAACTCAGCGCTTTGAGCCGATGTAAACAAACACAAAGTTCACTGTTGGACTAAAAACTTTCTTTTTCATTTATTTATATATATTCTGCATACTATCTTTTATCTTTCAAGTTTTAAAAATATATGTGGATGTTTAATGTGTTTAAACGATGAAAATTTCCTTTAGCAAACAGCTTTCGAAAAGGATTTTTTTTTTCTGCAGAAAAAAAATATTGTTGTAATTTTATTTCACACTAAAGCTTTACTTATTGTATCATGTTTAAAATTTCGATTCAAATTGCTCTATCTTTTCTGGAAAAAAAAGATCCTCATTTAAAGGTCCTTTTACATACGCGGACACTTATCCCTTCCTTCTCAAATACATCATGTATTCGTGTAGAAATCTTTACATAAGCAAAAGAAATAATTATCCGATTAAATATGTAATAGCAAAAGACACGGACTTTCTAAACAATTTCATAAATTTAAACGATGGTCCCTAATAACATCAAGGACCGCCATCTTGGACCAAATGG